ATTTATGTTATTAGGCAGTTGTTCAACCAGAACGATAGTTTTGTCGCACGAGTCCCATTGACTACGAGACTTGACTGTCTTTCGAGACCATTGAACACCGATGAGTCTAGTTCTGCGGTCCACATCCAGGATGGTGGCTGTTGTCAGTCGCGCTAGATTTATTGGTAAATGCCATCACACTTCATTGCTTGGCCTTGGCTCCTTTAGAATGTTAATCCTGCGACAACTTGTGAAGTGTGACTAGCATGCCCATCACGCCAGAGTTTTTTCTTCTTAAAACCATCTGACGTACCTCAGAGTTGCTATTGTGATAGCTATACTAGACCATACCGAACATTCAGGGAATCGATGGCCAAACACTGAATAACTTCGTACAGACGCGCATTCAAGCAGTGTGCCTTTAGTCTTCACATACTGGATAGTTTCCTTTAAATATTTGGAATTTTTAGGCTTTTTGAATCAAAATCCATTCATTGAGATCCGCTGATTGGTCAGTTGATTGATCGGCGGTCAAACAATTGTACAAATTAACTGCTGCAAATGCCTCGCATATTTTTGCAATGATCTGGTACAATGTTTTCAACAAGCGCAATATACGCTCTTGACAGTAGAGTAACTAGCTGTCAACAAGTACCTTCAGGACATGAAGTTGCAACTCGGGTGATGGGCACAAGTTTGGACAAAATTTTTCCCGCTTGACGAGTCTTTTTATAGCCAGAGGCAGGATTCATCTCCCCATATTTGTTTCTTAATTCTGACCGCTGTCCTGATAGCACACTATTTTAGCAATCTGCTCAAAAACGTAGAGTGCTATCGAGGTGGACGATATTATTCCCTAAAATGAATTCAGTCTTCATTGGCAGAAGCAATCATAAAGCTGCAATGAAGCTAGGCCATACGCAGACTTGTGCTGATTCTCCGAACCATACTAAACTGTACAGTAGAAAACCAAGCAAACGGAAACGCACAAGGATTCACCCTATCAGTATGTACACCGCGTCTATTAAATTCGTTCCAAAAACCGTGACAAAGTAATCGACGGTTACCGAAACACGAGGGCAGACAATGTACCCACGGTAGGCTTGTTTTAATTTATTACCATAATGTACAACGATAAACTCTCTTAATTCTTCTAAAATTTTCACATTTCTAGTTGCCGTAGTCTACAATAGACTTGCATGCAACACACGCGAGCCCCTTTCAGTTTACAACGGTGCTACCTGCTGATTTTAAGTAACTGAAACTACTGTAGTGACTTTCCAAGTCCAAATTCTAGCCAAGATCACTTTTCTGTGGTCACAAAAGACTTGGTTTGACGTTACCTTAACAAACAATGAGAACCATGCTGTCTCTACTTGGTGTGAAATCCATTTGTAACTAGGACCAGGATGCGAAATTCAAGTCTTTTTTGTTTTCAACGCGGCTTCGCAGATTCGTACAATACTGTATTTGAAATGTTCATAGTCTCCAGAAGATATGCTCTGGCGGTGCAATAATCGGCTTTCATATGAGGCTGCTTTTTGTTGGTTCGCTCTCGGTGGAGGTAAACAACGTGCAACTCTGCGCAACGTGCAACTCACCCTGGAGATATCTGTTGAAATTGTTAACTCTGTGTGATCTCCTGAATAAGTTAGATAGTTTTTCACCAAGCCGATCAGTTGGGTAATAAATAAGGTCCCTCTGTGACAGAGAGAGCTGATGACGATTGCATATTGTACTCCTTCTGAAGACAGGCTGCATTCACATGAAGGCCATAGTGTTGTTAGTCGTCCAGCCTAGATTAGGATCCGTTCCTTTTACGATAGAGCACTCTGAAGACTGTCTAGACTTTTTTCCCGTATCGGCTATTATTGAGAGATGACCGTATTCTTGGGTTACAGGAATGTTTGACTGATTGTCGACGATTGTGTAGCTTTTTTCCTGCCGACGATTTAATCCATGTAACCGGAGGAATTGGCCCTGTCTGCAAAAGGCTCATTTTCAGGAGGGAGGTTCTGACTGAAATATGTTTCTCCTCATAAAAAACTACTCAGCTGTATCACCTTTTTGGTACCTAGCTGTCATGCCACCCGAGGAAAACATGAGGGCAGGGATACTCCCAGGTTGACAAGCCTAGACAGGGGAAGTCAAGAGGCAGAGGTCGGGTTCGCGCTCTAACCACTTGAACCATTTCACTCCCATTTAGCAAACCCTGTCGAACCATGCCGAATAACCGGGTGTTGAACTCGGACCACTGTATAATGAAAACAGGGTTTCAACATCTATATCACTCGAGGTTGATAAGTTGATATGGATAAACCTGTGATTTTGATTGAGCACCAAAAACGATATAAAGCATGAAGCGCGCCAAACAAAAGTGGAATTTGGGTAACCCAAAATGTCTGGGTGCAGGTTCTAGCAATCGAAATTCTTTAATTTCGATAAAAAAAATGATGTTCGGTGGATTTTGCATCAAAATGGTGGTAAATCTTTTGGACGTGGCCTTTTGACTCACTGGTTCGATGATACATGGGGTTATTTTGAGGTGACTCACTGGTTCGATGATACATGGGGTTGGGTGCATGAACTGTGAGCCGTATTTATCGGTGTGTGGTTATTTACAGCTTCCGAAGATTTCATGGAAGATCTGACTGACAGTAATCTTTCCAACCGTCATCATCATTATCGAAGAAAGCAGCACCAATGGGACAGCACTGGTGGTCAATTGCTATGCAGTGTGACTTTACTGTGTTTCGTAGAGCGGGTTACTTTCGGGACATCTCAAGCTACACAATCGGATATTCGATCTACCCGTAAAAACCAGGCTAATCTATATGTCCTATGTCTATCTGACCTTGTCAGATAATTGAACTGCTTACTAGGGGTCAAATGAAGCTTCCAATTTTCTGAAGGAATTTGAGAGGACTTGAGAATTCACAAGTCTGTGAAACTCGGATTTCGAAATGGTAATAACAGAAGCATGGTGCACTAACCCTTGAATGCCACCCACTTTGGGACTCGACCTGAATAAGAGGCACTGCGTGTTTGTAAGATTGGTTTCATATCGCTTTGTCTATCAGCTTCCTTTGTTTAATGAAATAAAACACGACGAATATTCGTAGTGTCGTAGGAGGTCGAAAGCCAATAAAAAGGCTGTTTTGAAATTTGCCAGTAAATTTGATTACCTGGCTGCAATTAAGTGATTTCCTTAATTCAGAACGCGAGTAGAGGGGAAACTTCAGAGAAGCTTTAAAAGGTAGAAGTGGCTTGGAGGTTAGCGAGACACCAAGTTTCTTTTTGTATAGAGCACTTTTAGATCATGTGCAACCGTGAGGTTTACTACCCGCGTATTACATACACAGAAACTCGTGAATTGTCAATGGTAGTTAGGTTATTTTCCAATTACCAGTTTGTAAGAATGTCTTCTCAAAGCGACCGAAATAGGTTGGTAAATATCTCGGTCTGGTTCCAATTACTGGCAACTTTTTTGTTTACTTGTCTAAAAAGATGACTTCTGAGGAGCATTTGTGGCGTCATATAATTTGGCAAGCTAACAGATTGTGAAAGCGAATCAAAGCAGATTACACGCACCACCCGAACGCAGTCATTACTCTAAGCGAACCAACGTTACTCTATGCGGATACGTGGAGTCTGTTGAATTCTTGGTCTCTGGATACCCCATCGTCACGGTCCTCTACACTCACTTGTTCTGGCTATAATTATGGGAGCAAGTTTGTCTTTTGCTGCTCAACGAGACAAGCAAGCATGGTCTCTTTGACGTACTTGCTTGCGGTAACCGAACGTATTTTTTGATTCTGCGCACTCCAAAATTGTTGGAGGTTGGCATTTTCGATGGACATCGGATTGGGTGTCTTCTGAAGTAACTTCTTGAGGGCAACCACGCCGAAAAGAAAATCTCTCACGTGTATCCTAAACATATTCTTGAAACCTCAAAATAGATACGTTTAGGTTCATCAAACTACCCTTCTATCAATTATCAACCGCCATTACGTACTTTAACCTTAATATGTCGCACCGGTCATGGCACCTACAATACTGAAACACTGAACTGAAGCTGCTCGGCTGTTGGATTAGCTTACCTCTATGCCTGTAGAATGCCACAAAGTTGGAGGGAGGATTGAGTATGATAAGACTGAACGAAAGATCACGATTGGCTAATTGTTGACATCACATAGATACAGTTTTTGGGTGGGACATCACACTTGAGGTTGCCGAAAACACAGATATCCCACGACTGGATTGTCCTAGTTAGAAGAAATCATGTAGGCATGAGTTTGTTGACATAGTCAACTTTTACCCGAACTCGGGGACTGTGTCTATTCGAATAGCTCCAAGGAGACAGAATACCGGCTCCGGGCTGTCGAAGTGGTTTTAGCAACCTCAAGAGTAGGATGCTTCATCAAAACAGTGTACCGTGATATCTCCAATATCGTCCCAAATGTGACACGGGACGGTCTTTATATGGTGCCTTCAGTTGAAGGCAAAACTGCTCAGTACCTCATCGCAGAACACATGGGGAGGTTGGGCATTCGTCACTCGCCTCAGGGGGTAAAACCGCACCAATGGTACTTGTCCGTCAAAGGGTCGGTTCAAGAGCCACCACTCTGAAGGGCTGTCACAATGATTCTGCCCAGTGTATGAACCACTCAGAACGGGACCAACATCCATGGGCGACATCCCGCCCACTCCTCGTTGTGGACTGTGCGATAGATTGGCTTACTCTATTTGGTCACTGCTTAATTTGCCGTAATAAAAAATGACTCAGGTAAGACTGCTTAAAACAGAACATCCTTACTAGTTTGCTCTTCAAGGCACAGGTGAACAACGAAGTGCAGCCGGTCTTGAACAAATTTAGTTCAATAGCGTTATAAACAGTGGTATAATGAATAGAAAATTTCAAAAACGTTACTTTTAATTTCACTTAGGTGTTGCAATACGTTGTAAGACGTCATAAGACGTCATAAGACACAAAACGCAATTAAAGTAATTATAAGACTCACTTCCGTCTGAATTGGTTTCCACGCCGAATCCGTCAAACTGGTTAAGGTGCCAACTTCCCTCATATTTTGCACAACTGGTCAAAGATTCTTTCACACCGTAACGTCCGCAGAATCCAGTGGTGAATGCTCCGCGATAGATCCATCGACCTTTGACCTGAACCCCTTCTCCGTGTCGCTTCCCTTTCAACCATGTCCCACTGTAAATATTCCCACTAGGCCAGATATACACACCACGGGATTCGAAACCCATAGTCCACTCGCCAGAATACTCTCCCTGGTTTTCCGGACCAGTGGCGATGCCCAAACCATGTGCTCTGCCTTCATGCCATTCACCCACATAACTTCCACCATCGTTGAAATCAAACCGCCCACCTTCCATAAAATATCTTTCTTCCGGTTGAGAAGACAAAAACGGAATAATCTGACTGGCCCTTTATCGAAACCAGCCCACGGTTTTTTTTGTAGAGAATCACCTTGATCTGAAGAAGTGAATATCAATTTCAGCCTTCCGATACATAGTTCTAGGGAAGGCTATGATGTGTCAACAGGATCAGTGACAGCAACACCAACATTAATCTGTTCACAAGGCCGGTTGGCCGTCTTGTGTGGTGTTCACACTTTGATCGATCAAAGCGTGTTTTGTCAATAGTATTTCCTCTGGCTCTCACGCGCACGCGAAAGTTCACCACTATTAGTAGTGATAAGTTGGTTAGAGTAAGGGCAGTCAGCGACGAACGATCAGAAAATGAAAACGGCGGACAGCGAAGGAATGTGAAGCGCGTGGACACTACTATTCAGTGTACGCTTGTAGAGGAATATTTCCTGACTCGTGTGTGATAGTGTTTGCACTCCTCCCTAAGGCTTGGTTAACCGATATAAACGCGGCGTATACGCCTGAGGTTCATCCGATCTCGGAAGCAGTCCATTGGCGTGTGTGCCTACGTACGTGCCGACAGTTGAGATTTGTGTTTGCCAACCTCCGTCCAAACGCCCGCCGGTTCCTACGTTCTTCTGACACATTCAGTGCGATGCATGTCTGTCCCACCATGGTTGAAATGTCACAGTGTGCAGCACAGTGAAGGAAAACCACCCAAAATCCCGTGCCGGGATGGCGGTAACAAGCACGCAAAATGGTATGTGTGCGCTCGCGTTTGCGTAGAGTGTACCGGGGCTGAGGATAATTCTGTGTGCTTCTACGGTGTCAGAATAATGGGCTGGCGATTTTCACCAATTCTACTGTTAAGGACATAGCCTGATGTCCTAATGCGATCGATAACGTATGGAGAAACCTTGTCCAAAAAATAGCGACCTATTGATCTAAATGCGGTTAAACAAATTTAATTTTAAACTTTTGACAGTAAAGAGGTCAGAATTCGGTGCCCATGAATTGTCCAATCCACAGTTGTGCTAGACTATCCACATTTTAGTTCTTTTTGTGCGTCTTCAGGATGCAGTTTAAAGTTCGTTCCGTGAAAATATGAAAACATTTGGTATTTCGTTTTCAGGACGCAGTGAACATCCACTCACATATGCTTGACCTTTCAAGTAAATTACTTCCATTATAAACAAACTCCGCTTTTAGATGTCATCATCAACGCACAAATCACTGAACGAAAGGAAGGTTCTAATAGATGAGATGCAAAGTGAATTCGCCACAAGACTGCACGAGTTCATTGAGTGGAAAAACTCGATTGGTGCTGATATTTCTAAATGAAATAAACCTTAACTTTTCCGAAGTGAGCTCCAAGTGGGAACTTTCGCCATATCTACCTATAAAAACATCAGAAATGGTATAGGATGAACGTGTGTTGATATTGGTGCTGCTTGTTCAAGGATTTTCTTAGAGTGCATGGCGGAAATTTAAAGTGAAATCTATCTATCGAAATGACATTTCAACTCATCTGCATAAACCGGTGCTAAGTTATTACTGACTGTGGCAACAGTGGACGGTGACACAGTCCGGTGAAGAATTTTCATCTCATTGTCACAGTTATGGTGAACGTGCAGTGAACTGTTCTTAAAGCTTGTATGTTCGGTGTTACTGTGTTGTGTGCTGTGTCCAATGTACAGCTTTATGCCAAAAAAGGATATGATGTCGTAGAACAGTGGCGAAGAATCCATCAACATAGTACAGTATTCCCTCTGAGGAAAAGGTGAGAAAATCCCCATTTCAAAGAGAAGCAGCTTTCTCGACCGCATAATGTCCCACATAAGCACATGAAACAAAGTTAAAAATATTTGGTTAAAACAAGATAGCCAACAAAAGTCAGAAACGATATGTTCTTTCGTTGCTACGTTTCTTGCACCAATCGGCTTTTCAAATTAGTTACTTAATCTAGAAGCCTGTTCCAGAGCGACTGCGTGGTAAATTTTTGAACCCAGAAGTTTGATATACTGCAGTATTCAATGTTACGACTGATTGTCTGCGTCCTAGTTTACATCCCCTTCGCCTTCCACTCGGAATTTAGCGGAACCTACAGGTCATCTAGCAAAACAGACATTATTAAAATGATAGATTACTAATGACTGCATACGTTTAATATAATAAGCCCGACAAAATCAGGAACGAATCATCAGTCGGACATATTGTGATAATATCAGCAGACATCCCGAGACTCACCAGTCCAACCGAGCCAAATTTAGAAAAACATTTGATCAATACAGCGCTGAACAGATTGTTCCACCACTCCAGATGACTAAACCTAGAAACGGGAATAGACGAAATTGTAGCACGCACCCTTCATTAAATGAGGAGCTTGAATTTGAGCTGATTTCCACTAAAAAGAAGCCTGCAACGACATGGTATGGTAATTTATCGGTGTTTTTTAGCTGGGCAACGTTTCTCTCTAATGAAAAAGCTTCGTTAAATCAAAAAAAGTATTTCGCCAGGTTGGTGAATTTTCAAGATGAACGGAGGATCGCTAAGTTTTTAGCTGAGCAACGTTTCTCTCTAATGAAGAAGCTTCGTTAAATCAAAAAAGTATTTCGCCAGGTTGGTAAATTTTCAAGATGAACGGAGGATCGCTAAGAATATGTCTTTCAGATTAACACCCTATTCACTTGGCCTGAAGCGGAAGTTGCCCAGCTAAAAACCACCGATTGTTTACCGATTGTTCATCGATTGCTTCTTACAGGATGTCTCCTCAATGGGTTCCCAAAATTTTCCATTCGATTGGAATTACAACAGACCTTGTGCTCGCAAATTGTAAAGGTGGGCACACTCTATTAGCGAGGTTGGAGAAAAACGGGGAAAACCACCCCGTATCTAATAAAAACACTTGCAGCAAACCATACCTTTGCTGTCTAGGCCGCTCGATACATCGCCTCCTTCTGGCTGAAAATGGTTCTTTTTTAGCAGAGGGCTTCAATTTCTCAGTAAGAAGAGGGGTTATAAAGGCGAAGGAAAAAATTCCCATCGGTGGATCCATTTCACAAACTTCATTTAACGGAGGCGGAAAGGCTACTAGTAGAGATGATTATCATCCTTAACTCCCAGTATCCAAGAGCTCCGAATGTCGAACAAAATGAGCACAGTAATGCTGAGGCAGACAGGTATTTGCTGTCCATGATAAACCACTTAGGGTAAGGTAGGTGACATCGACTGTCCCAATCCGCCCCGTGTCTCTATTGCTTACTAAATATCCTTAGAGTGCATGTCTTCGTGAGTAGACGGAATAGTCTCCCTAACCTACGGGCTGGCCAGATTCTTGGAGGAAATCTGTATTACATATTCACATGACATCTGAAACAAAGTAGCGGGTTTTCCCGTTATCAGGAAGGTCAGTTTCCTGAAAGCAACCACTGAATGCCCGGAATCAATAGGCAGCGCCTCACAGCCTTTTATCAAACCCAGACAGCGCGAGTCAGCGCTGATCTAGATCAGACAACGCCCCCGTAATATGCAGCACGTCACAGCCTCGTACCAAAGCCAGACCGTGTGCGTCAGCAGACAGTGTCCGTCCAATAAATAGCCTGAGACCGTTGTACCTTTCTCAATCGCACGCACTCACGCTCTAGCACTCGATTGTTCGGAATATAGCGATTGTGTTCTCTTCTGTGAGTTTTTCTCCAGCACTAGGCACTGGAGCGGGTCAGCAGCAGATACCACAGATTGACGAATCAGCAGATATAACACCCGTGGTACCAGATGAGATTTTTTTCGAATTGCGATATCAACTCGTTTTATACTAATATTCCAAAAAGAACTCCTCAGTCACATATAAGCGAGCACTGTTGGGAGACACCACCCTTTCAAAACAGACACAGCTCACGGTGGATGAAAGAGTAGAATGCGCAAAAACACGTCTGAATCTCACGCACTTCGCTTCTGATACCGGGGTTTACGATCAAGAAATAAGTCTTGCAATCGAACCCTTATTATTCCCAAATTGAAAAAAATGCCTTAGCCGGGCTCCTGCACCTGTCCAAAATATTTTAGCGTTGTGTTATTGAGAGTTCCGTCGTGTTTAAATGATAGAATTTCGCTGAGTTCCCATATCAGATTCAGAATTGAGAAAGTGACAACTTTGGACACAATGCCCTTCTTAGACTTACAAAATCGGTGGGAAGCTAAAAACCGCACCATATCAGGAGCCAGCTGGTAGTGGGGCGATTATGAACTGCCCATCTACTTAACCTAAATATTTGATAGTATTACCTCAACAATATTTAGCCGCGTAAGGTCCCTGTATACAGAATAGGTTTGTAGAATAACAGCCCAAAGTGAAGTAAAGAACAAACTTTGGAATGCGGGGCTTGATGCCTCAGATGGTCTCAGATGGTCAGAGCGCGAATTGACTGACTGGAAGGTCCGTGGTTCAAACCCGACCTCTGTCTCTCGATTTCCCTTGTCTAGGCTTGGGCACACTGGCAGTATCTCAGCCCTCAAGCTTCTTCTGGTGACATGGTGGTTAGGCGCCAAAAAGGTGCTACAGCTGAACAACTCATTATCGCTTCCAGAGAACAAGCACACTACAGTATGCATTGGGGGCCTCCAGTACAATAAAACCAGGAAATGTGTCCGTAAAAGTAAATGTAGCGCCTGCACTATGGCTTATATAAGAATGATAGCCCGAGAACTTCACACAAGAGTCGGCGAGCACAAGAGAAAAATAAAAAGGCCACTAATGGACTGCATAGATCGGGTGTTACTGATCGACTAAGCAATGGCGGAATGTGCACTGGACACTGCAATGCTGTTCATACCACAGAGAGTGAAGACCGAGATGGTGGATATCACCAAGTCTCCCAATGTGAATAAGTAGAAGGCGTGGAACTGACGAGCGTATGAAGCACGGTTTTGTATCAGCCGAGCCGACACACGGTGGTGGGTGGTTCTCAGCAGGGAAGAATCATGAAGAGAAGTAGCTCAGATGAGATGCATGATCTTAGCTGACCAAAAAATCCTCGTAATCTCACGACCCACCAACCAAATGTCCTTAGCATTCACAAGCCCAAACATACCAACAAAATTTTCCGGTAGCACTTATTATGGCTAATCATTTAGAGCGCCTTGAACAGGAAGCTCAAGGATCCAAACCCAATAGAAAATAAATTGAATTTCTCCCAAATGATCAAGTGCAAAGTTTGGGCAACCAAAACAAGTGACAAAAACTGACATTCAACAGTGATTTAGTGGGCTGGTTGGAAGATATCCTGCTAATCAATGTTCCGTCTGCCTTGAAACTCGGCCGCCTTGATAAACTATTCATCTGACCTAAATAAGCTTTTGTGTCATAAATAAACGTCGCCTAGCTAAAAAAAACACTGATTGTTTATGGGACCCTTCTGTAATGATGACTTATCAATTGGTTTTACACATTTTCCTTGTTTATGGGTCTGTAATGATGACTTATCAATTGGTTTTACACATTTTCCTTCCGCTGAATTTGAGAAGTCTAGTCCGTACTGAGGTGCTATAGCATATGATAATTTTCCCGGAGTTAGTTCGATCTCTAAAAGCTTATTTTTGAGGAGAAAAATCGTTCCTTTGAGAAGTGTTATTTGATCAGCCGAATAAAGGCCTCACAGTAGGTACCAGTCGACTTCTAGAACTCCTACCTGAAGTTGATAGGTCAAACTGGTCTGCCAGTTGTTAGTTTGTTGTCATGATGACCACTAGACCAATAAGCAAGCTTATCACTCACTTGATAGGGTACGCTGTCATAACAGTTTGATTCCCTGACCTTAGCCCTCGCACCGAAATTAATTAAACCTCTCGGTAAACCATTGGGTGTGTTGGTAACACATGAAGCTACGTTTTCTTTGAAATGAGGCCTAGCTCACTCTGCTCCCAATGCTCGGACGTGACACCATAAATTCCGGTTGGTTTTGCACTACGTCGTTGGATGTATTAGCGATACCCTTGACCCATGTCACAGTTCGTAGTTTTTACCACCCATGCGCACCGTATGCATTAGCGACCTATCGATTAACACCACTGTAGGATTTTCACAGCACACCTTTTTGCCTTGCATTGTCAAAGTCAACATATGGCGTCATTTCAAGTTTTACCAACGGCGATATTGTGAGTACTTCTTTCGCATCAGTGAAGTCAGCATTCGCAACGTGATGTCATTTCAAATTCAATCGTTTATTCTGCCTCCCCAACTGTGTTTTGCTGATGGGCTACAGTTGTGAACAGCGCCCGAACAAAGATTCGAAGTCAAGGGGCAGGGAGATATCATGGTGCCATCGGACTGTAGGATAATATAGTAAAATTTATGGATAGTACAAAGGAATGAGTAGCATCGGTTCAGTATTGTCAAGCAGCAGAAGATAATTTGATACGTTCATTTCGATAAAATGTAATGAATCAGAGAACATGCCGAATTTCTTTCCCAAATAAAACAATGAAAGACGCTAAAACAACGTTACCCATAAACTGGTTGGCTGGTAGAAACTTCGTTGATGAGTTTTGTTCACTCGAGCAGGTGCAATAAAACGGCCGAAAAAGGGTGAATGAGACTCTTTGTATTGTTTAACTACTCAGATTCCCACAAGTAGGCTAGATCTGTGCACTTCGCCCAAAGACCTCATCTTAAAATTCTTGCAGTCAGTGAGTAGAACTGCGAATTAGTATAGGCTGGATGATTACTAGCCCTTGCTGAATACTCTGCTATGAATCGTAGTGGCAGATGTGTCCACGAGGACTTCAGCTTGGAATTCTTACCTAAATAGGTTGAATTCTTTGTCCGCTTCCTATGGTGTCAATGAATTGTGTCGGTAATTGCTTCACGAAAGGATCGAATGTGGTTAATCGTTTGGAACATTCAGCGTGATTACAGTACAGAGTCTTCCACCATTTGTGTCACTTTGTTCCACTCTTTATCCGAGTTCAGAAACTACACCATGTTGCATCAAATTTAAGGTACAAAGTCAATGCGTAATTTACACAGTTCTGATCTCCAAAGCCAGGAGTTCTCCAAAAGCGCTTCTTTGTACGACTTGAATTTCTCCGGCTTCACGGATATAGTATAGATCATATGTTGAATAAAAAGTGTCGATTTAACGTCGCCACTTGTATATTTCATTTTGGAAGTGCGGTCCCTAAAATTCGGTTTTGAAGCTTTGTGCTCTGGTTCACTGTGTGTTTAACAGTTAGACCACCATCCTACTTCTCCATTGAATAGGTGCATGATCAAGGTATCTTATGTCGAACGAATAAAAGTCTAACTCCACAGTTTATTAGGTTAACACATGC